GTTACATCAACTGAAGAAATAGTCCCTGTGGAAACTGTTGACACCAGGTCAGGGTGTGAGTGAGTGGTGTGGGCCATTGTCAGTGCAGCACTGACCGCTGCTATCAAACACATGTTATCTGTTGCTAACTTAGTTAGCCACAAAGCAAGCTAATGCCATGGCTCGTCAGGAGAAGACTGATGAGCAGTTAACGTACAGTGTAACAGTCGTTCTGCCTAATGGTGAATATATGTGCGACTCAGAGACACAGAAGCTTTTCAGCAGTAAAACTGACACCTTCAGCTAATGACTGAGCATCACATTTCAAAACAGCTGGTTTCAACTAGAACTGGATCGTTAGAGCAGCAGAACAACACCAGAAATAAATATTTGATATATATGATGTTGATATATTGTTATCAGATTTCTTTAAATCAGCATCAGCCTTAAAAATCCTTTTTAATAACTGTCATCAAATGACAAAGTGCTGACAGGAACTGGTCCAAACACCGACACTCAGGCTCTCAGACTGACACACACTTGTCGTTGCTGTTCTTTGTGTGTGTTGTACTATAACCACAGTGCAGCGAGCCGGTGAAGGAGCTCTACACAAACCTGATGGAGAAGCTGGAGGCACAGAAGAAGAGCCCCCCACCACCGGACGAAACTCCATCCCTGGATCTCGGGCTGCACCCGGTGACTGTCCCCACCACGGCCTCCACACCGACCACGCCTATCTGACAGAAACCAGAATCCTGATGAGTGACTGACTGAGAGTTCAGACCCAAGATGCTTGTTGTGTGATTTCTTTGTGTAGTTTCTTTAGATGTTGGTCTCAGAGAAGGTCTTCCAGCTCTGACAAGGTTTCCAGCGGCAGGATGTTTTTATTCAAGGGGGGTGGGGGGGTGGTCATGACTTTTCTAGACTTTGTGCTGCAGCATTATTGTCCAAATATACAGAACTTTGATATGTATCAGTATGTTACACTTGAGCTGTGTCAGTAGTGAAAGAAAGGTGTAAATAAATGATTATTAGAAATACACAGTGGTGTTATTGAGTGACATCTAATGCAACACTGCAGCACCTCTGTTCACAGTCAGTCCCCTGATGAGAGGCACTCAGCTAAAGCAAAGAACAGTCTGTAGACCTCACACAGGTAGTGTGGCAGAGTCATGACAAACTTCTATTGAAAGTGTGTTGAACCATGTGAGAACATTAAAATCCTGAAACTATGAATATTTGGTCATTATGATCAGGACTGGTGTTGAATTAAAAAAGAATAATTCAGTAAAAGTAGTAAGTAATATTGACATATAATATTTTTATTACAGTTTTTTTAATGCATTTTTTTCCTCTAAGGACCTCAGTGTAAGTTTTTTTTTTTTGAAGGATTCACAAGGGTTAAGTAAGTGAATAAGCTTTTCGTCCACTCACAAGTATTATTGATCATCATGTACTTAATCATTTGCAGCACAAACACAAGATTTGAAGCAGATGACATACAAATGAAGATGTTTCCACTGTTTTTCTCTTTGATATTTAAACTGATGTTATTTACTCATTGTCATTGTGAATCATTTCAAGTTTTTCTTCTGCGTTAAAAATGTGAGTGAACTTGTTGTGACATCATTCTACATGTTCTCACTTTGAAGAGTTAGTTCTTTATTTAGCATGAAGAAATGAAAGCTGCAGCTGCTCCTGTTTGAAGGTACAGAGTGAGTATCAAGACGTGGCTGTGCCCAATGACTGTTATAATACACAGTACAGGAGGAGGGACTGAATTTGATTCATCACATTGTTTTCATAATAACAAACACAATGTAATTTAACACATTTAAAAAAGACACAAGTTTCCATTATTCAAACAAAGTGCTTCCTTGAGGGTTCTCAGTCTCTTCTAGCAGACTGAGAGATATTAAGTCATCATGCAATTTTCATTATTGAAAGTTACCACAGCTTGAACAGAAATTGGAGCTGAAATTGAATCACTGAAGTTCCCTGAACTCACTGTTGATGAAAGTGTTTGTGACATGGAGCATGATCCTGCTGGAAGGAGCCATTAGAAGATTGTGAACTGTGGCCATGAAGGATGAACACGGTCAGCAACAATACTCAGATACACTGAGATATGCAGACCATGATTGATTGATTGATTGATTGATTGGTATTAAGAAGAACACATTCCCCACACCATCACACCACCACCACCAGCCTGGACCGTTGACACAAGACGGGTTGGTCCATGGATTCAGACCATCTGCTGCCTCAGCACAAATCCAGATCCATCAGACCAGGTCTTCACCTGTCCAGTTGGTGAGACTCAGGTTTCTGGTCTTGGTGACAGGAAGTGGAACCTGATGTGGTCTTCTGCTGTAGGCTGGACACCAAGCTGGTGTTCATGGGATGCTTCTGTTGTTGTTCCACTCTGAGTAAAAACTCTAGTGATGTTGAGCCAGCAGCTTCAACATCATGTCACAGTCAAAGTCTGATCTGCAGGAGTTTATACACTGCTGCCACATGCTTGGCTGACTGGATAATTACATGAATAAGCAGGTGTACATGTGTTCCTAATGAAGTGCTTGATGAGTGAATGAATCATGTGGGAAACTGACCCTTGATGTTGTCATCACAGTTATCGTTAAGTTAAGTGTAACGAGGTGTCCTTCAAGATATTACATAGTTTATCCAGTTACATATTAGAAAGATTCAAGTGGATATTGATTGCAAGTGTGATTTTTGTGGTATGAAAAATAGTATTTCCCATCTATATTTTTACTGTATATATGTACAATCACAGTTACCTTTTGGGCTGAATTGACTAATTATATAATCCATAAAGGTAAAAATAATTTCAATATCGAATGTAAAAATATCATTACAAGTTATGAACATAATGATTATGACATTGAATTCATTGTTATTTCATATTCATAAATGCAGAGGAACAAAAGTCACCCCCAGTTTTATTGAATTTTTAAAAAGAATTTAGAGAACATATTAAGACTCTTGACCTTATTAATACTAAAAAGTAATAAGACTGTCAAATTATATAATGAACTCCTCAAAGAGGAATAATCGACAATGTCAAATATTATATTTCATGTGAAAACATTATTACACATGTCAGCTGCACATGGTTGTACATTTATCTATTTATCAAGCATTGAATTCTGATTCATTTTTGTTTTTCTTTCTTTTTTGTCATTGTAATTCCACTGTCATTCTGTTTTTACATAATGATGACAGTGTGTTTTTCTCCTCAGTAAGGCCTCACAGGAAGTGTGTAGACAGTCTGTGTCAAAGCTTAAACACAGAAGAGGAGGGAAATCAACTTTGGTTTTGATCCAATAAATCTCTGAACGAATGAAATCACTGCAGGTGTGCAAGTAACATCAGCAGAGGTGCAAATATACAAAGAGATGCAAAGAAATAGTGAGTGCTCAGTGTTTTCAAATAATTTTTTAATCAATCCTCAAAACAAGACTGTATATTAGTAATATTGATATAATAATGATGGATCCAGCCCTGAGCCCATCAACTCCCAGTTTGAACACTCTCTTTTCTGTGGGACCAACATCAGGCAAACAGACAGACTTTGCCCTGAACTCCAGTTGCTGTGAACTTTGCTGATCACATACTGTACTTTTGATTTGAATGACCCCATGACCTTTCTCTACCGCTGCCCTCAGAACAAACTAAATCTTTAGCCCCAGTGGTTGATCTGTCTGTCACCTCAAACTGCAGGGTGCTATGAACATTACAGCCTCTAGAGGCCACCAGTGAGTCAGGACAGTTGTCTTTCAGAGCAGCTGCATTAGCTGCATATACAATGCTCAACCCCTCTGTTGGTTTTACAGCCTCAACACTGAGATTAAAGGGGAACTAAACTTCTCATCTCTGTGGCTCTGAGCTTATCAAGCCTGAGAATATCACCCAGATGATGTCATCAAACTAACTAACGAGCAACTAAAACTAAAAACTAACTAACCAAAAAGCAAAAAGATGAAATGTAGGATCCAGTACAAGGAAAACTCTGGATATCTCCTGCTTCGATTTTGATCATCTTGTATTTAATATTCATGAAGTTTTATAAAATTTTGGACTTGTGAGACTTGCAAGCTTGAGCCAACTTTCTTTTCTCTTAATGCAGTTCAACAGTGATTAGATTCATTAGACCCACCGGTTGTCTAACAAATTCTAGTCTGTTTTTTTGTTTTTTTCCCCCAGTTTCTTTATTTTACACACATATAAAGGTACAAACACACACATAAACAATAAACAAATAAAAGAAATAACAAACCAAAAAATTAATAGTTAAACATTTTCACATTGTTCATGTTACGAAACCATAGTTTGTGTTATATGCAGCATATTATATTCATTCCACAGCTTTAAGGTCTCATTTTTAACATCAGACAAAGTTTTGCTAGACTGTTTAAAGTGCAGGAAAGTTGCCTTTTCTTATGAATATGGTATTTTCCAAAAATAATAAAATGTTGTATAACATACAACATGTTACTTTCAGTCTTATCTTGACAAAAACAGCATTACATCAAACAGAACTATTTCAATATTCACTTTTAGTTTCTTATTTAGAATATTGGCTCCATCAACCCAGGACATTCATGTATATATATATATATATATATATATATATGTACATAAATGTACATAAACATGTACACATGTGCATGTATGTATACACACACACACATATATACACATGTATGTATGTATGTACAGTATGTGCGTGTGTGTGTGTGTGTGTGTGTGTGTGTGTGTGTGTGTGTGTGTGTGTGTGTGTGTGTGTGTGTGTATTGTGTAAAATTTTGAAATGTACTTTAATTTTACTGGTGATACAAAAACGTATGGGGTAATAGCCATGCTGTCTGCAAATCTATATCTGCATACACCTGATTATCTTTTCATCTTTGACAGGTAGGTGACGTCATTCGAGGGGCGGGACCGGAGAGTCGTATGTGCGGGCGAGTACAGGTGATCTTCAGTCTCGCCGCCGTGGCTCGGGGGAAACATGGGGAAGCTTCAGGAGTTTGAGATCGCGCTCGACAAAAACAAAGTGGTGTACAGTCCCGGAGAGTCCATCTCCGGTACCGTGACGATCAAAGTGAACCAGGCGCTGCCGTGCAAAGGTGAGTGTGATACCGATGAGATTATTCCGCCGACGTTTTTCTCACCAGGTGGGATAACACCGCCACCGCCAAACAAGGAAGTGACGGACTGAGCCAAGAGTTTATTTAGTTTGAACATGAAGTTAATGTTGGTCCAGTCTGTGTCTGTTTTATAATAAACTGAAAACTAACTTTATATGCTGATGTAAATGATCTCTATGTTGTAATATTTTTACTTCTGTAGTGGGAGGTTAGGGGAACGCGAGCTCATGGGAATGTTGGTGTTTTTCTTCCTTCTATTACGTCCTCCATCAACAATGTTAAAGCCTCCTGACTTCATATTAAAATATTTATAAATTAAATATTTATTTCTTCTGGGATACATTGATGCAGAGATTACATAAACGGAAAGAAAACAAACCAAACAGCAGAAATGCAGAAAACAATTCCTAATAAAAAAACAGTTACATTCAAAGACATTAAGATTTAAAGGCATATTTCTAAACTGTCCCAATGTTTTCAGGGAATCCATATTTAAAGTGTGTTGTAGGTTATTCCATGACCCGAGGAACATGCAGTGTAATCCAGACTTGAGCTGGTTTGATAGGGTTTGATTTATTCAGTTATGTGACATCGTCTTCAGCATGAAGGTCTCTGTCCTCTACAAGACTTTTCAGGAGCCAATAGAAACGGTTTTCAGCTGTGTGACATTGCTTTGTCATTTATGAAGCCACTTATTTTCTCCATGAATTGTTTGGTCTACAAAACACCAGAGAACAGTGAGAATTCAAAAGAGAACAACAAGTAGAAACTTCTCACATCTGAAAACCTGAAACCAACGACGAAGAAACACAAGTTTAGATTTGATCAAACACTGAATATGTCATGTTACCACTCCTGAATATCAGTGTTGAAATTTAAAATAACTGCATGTATCGAAGTGAAATATTTTACTTTGAAAAACCATCTGTGTGAATATATGTCATTTAATTCCAAAAATATACAGAATGTGACCTGAGAGGACAGAGGTCAGAGTCAGAGCCTGAATGTTGAAGTCTGACTTTTTCATTTTGAATTTTTCTCCAGTTAAATGTGAAAAAGGTCTAAAGCGGCTTTTAGACTGAACCTGAAATGACCAACAGAACTGAACCCTACCATATACAACAGGAAATGACCTGCTGTACATTTCAAAGAGGATAAATTTAAAATGAAATATTCAGGAGGAGCTCATTTTCACCAGCAGTTGTTTATAAGAAACAAATCCTTCCAGTCTTTCTCTGCACTTCCATGTCTGATGTAAATGTTCTTCTACAGATCTCAGTTCCTAATGATGGAGAACACATGCAACTGTAAACTAGTGTCAGGAAAAAGACAAAGTGTGTGAATTACAAACACACCCTTCTCCACATTGTTTCCATCACAGCATCAAAATATCTTTTGTTTTGTTTTTGTTTTATCGTCACTGAAATCTTAAACAATAAATGCCTCAGCAAGGATGAACAACAGGTTACTGTGAATCTACTGCAGCCTAAAAGCCCATTAATCATCAGTGATACAGACTTATTACAAGTTTAGCCCTAATTATTAAGTACCATTTTCTCTGTGAGATCATTCTTCGTGTTCTCTGTGTGTGTGTGTGTGTATGTGTGTGTGTGTGTGTGTGTGTGTGTGTGTGCGTGTGTGTGCGTGTGTGTGTGTGTGCGTGTGTGTGCGTGTGTGTGTGTGTGTGCGTGTGTGTGTGTGTGTGTGCGCGCGCGTGTGTGTGTCAACTTGGGAGCAGTTACTGTGTATGTTGTTGAGGGAGTTTCTGTTTGAAAGCTTCTCGTCTGTTTACATTCCTGCTCAGGTAGAGCTGGTCAGACTGTCAGCTGCACTTCACCACCAACCAGGAAACACACTCTGTCTCAGAGCAACACTTTCAATCACTGATGGATTGTGAAGTGGGTGGGGCCTCGAGATAAGAGAACTTTAACTGGACAAATATTGACACTGTGTTAAAAATCAGATGTGTTTTGAGTCGTTGCGGTTCCCCTCAGATAAGATGCATATGATGAGGTTACTGAAAGATGTATTCTGCACCCAGTATCTTTTTATAGAGTTTTTAAGACTGAAAATAGTTCATGTATGTGGACACATACTGTTGTTAGTCAGTTTTTAATGGTTTGGGTCCATTATTTCCAGTGACGCGAAATCTTCATGTTTTAACATGACAACCTCCCCCACCCCACCAGAGTAAAACCAGATAAAAGAAAAGAGTGTGGGGGCTCTAATAGAGTTTAGTCGTCCCCCGATCCGGAGGAGTTTATCTCTTATGTTGTTCATTAATGAACATGAAATTCATAGATCCAGGAAATCACAGGGAAAAAATAGTTTAAATTTGATTTGATTTGATTTCACTACTGAAGAAAGTGATTGGATACAAAAATCATCAACATTTCCCTCCGCAGACACACGTCTCCCTGCTGACCGCACAGCAGCTGATGTGACTGAGCTTCTAACTTTCTCTGTGAGTGATCATGTTACCGTACATCCAGCTGAAGTCACAGCTCAGTCTTTGTCTTTAACTGATGTGTTTGGTGAGTCTTTGGTCAGATGACGTCATGGTTATAAAATCAGGATTTTAGTAGCAGCTTGGAAGTGGCTGCTGGTTAACATGTCGTCTTAACAGGCTATGTTTCAGTCACTATTATATATTTGTTCCGTTGTCCTGACAACGGAAACAGAAAACATGGCAATGAGGGGAGCTTTATTGATTTACTCTGTCTGTATTTTCTTACCTGCAGCCATCAAAGTGAACTGCAATGGTTTCTGTGGCATCACCAACAAGGTGAATGACACGGCGTGGACAATGGAGGAGCAGTACTTCAACAGCACCGTCTCTGTCGCAGACAAAGGTGAGCAGGCAGACACCTGAGATGCAACTACAAAACCAATCCAAAGAGTTTGATCTGAGCTGCAGTCGGTATCAGATAGTTCACATCAAGCCCAGTCCAGTCACAGATTACAGAGCTTAACTGGCCTTTAATACTTCCCTGTGTGGACACGTCACAAAACACTGAGTGAAAATACTCGACACAGCCACATCATAGAGAATACAACTAGGCTGCTGAAATAATTGAAGGGTAAAGAGTATAGTAGTGAAAGTTCCCATGGTTCTTTGTGTTTACTTCATGCAGCCCTGAGGCAGTCCTGCCTGCTGGGAAACAGCAGCGCGATTGTTACTGTTTGCACTAATGAATGTTATCTCTGTCTCCACGCAGGAACCCTGAAACAGGGAGAACACACGTTTCCCTTCAAGTTTCTCATTCCAGGTAGGAGCTCTGAGTGATGGGCTGAACACTTGTCACTGCACATTCTTTCCTATGCTTGTGTGTGTTTTGCCCTCACATTTCACCTGACAGACGTGTCCCAGCAGGATGATATTTACCCCAGTGCTGTTACGGTTCAGCTGCTGTGAGGACAGGACTCTGAGCCCATCACTCGCTGGGCTTATGAGTTCTGTGCGACACTTTGCACTGATTTACTACTTAAACTGCAACCACTACTTACTTAAAAAAGGAAAGTTGCTATAATTTAAAGGAGCTGTATGTAAGTTTTGCTATTGCTACATAATAGCTCTGAGTGATTAATCTAATTTTATTTCCGATTACGATTTTGGCTTCGCATTAAATTTCACCCCCCCCTACAAAAACCTTCCCCCCATCCACTTCCTGGTTACATTTCAGCATATGTTTGCAATATATGTTTTTGAGTTTTCAATATGTTGGTGCAGTGCACTACAACATGTTTAATCTCATTTATTTTGGTCTAATTTATTTTTCTTTATCATTTTTATATACTGAATCTGTTTGTTTAGTAGTTTTTAGTAGGTTGTGGAAGTACACTAATGTTACAACATAGTTGATCTTATTTATTTTGATCAAATTAACTTTTATATTATATATTTATTTGTATATATTTAGATATTATTTATTTATCTAATTTTTAAAATTTATTTTTTAATTAGTTTTTCTGTTGAATTGAATATTTAAAGTTCAAGAAAGTCCACTGTTAAAAAGTTTTTTATAAAAGTTCAGTGAATGCTTGGAGTTTCCAAAGTCAGTGAGTAACCCTGTTAAATATTGAACAGTGAACTCAATATTGATCAAAATAACCATGATTATGATTTTAGCCATTATCGAGTAGCACTACTACATAGCATTCGCTAATGTTAGCATAAACAGCTGTTTTCATGCCGGTCTAGAAGAAATGCACAAGTTCAGCATCAAACTTATTTCCCTTATTCACCAAGAGTCCAGAGCAACCCTCTTGTTTTGCTTCATTTCTGTCATGTCTTTTCTTCTGAAGTTAGCATGCTAACCAGCTTGCGCTCGCACATCTTGTCACTTTCTGATACCGAGTCACTGTAGTGTCCCGTCTGCTCAGAGAAGACTATGTAGCAATAGCAAAACTTACAAATAGCTCCCTTTTTAAAGCTTCTGTAATGAAAATGTTTACATTAAAATGGACTCATCGTCAGGGGAACCCATGATTAAGAACCCAGAGAGAATGATCAATCAAGAACTCTGCTTTGTATCCCTCACCACTTTTTATACAGAAATCATACTATATTTCCATTAAGAAGATGCATCGTGATTCTGCTAAACACTGAACCAAACAGCTGGCAGGGTGCCACCCCAGTGTGTGATTTGTAGATAGCATGCCAGCACTCAGGAATCAGAGATCAGAGGCTTTCCATCACACAACAGAGTTGGCATCTGTCCTGCAGTATCAGTTCTTCCTTTAACGTCAGTCTGGCTCTGTCACTACCTCCACTGCTCATTTAAAGGCGGAACAACAATGCATCCCTCCCATTCAGTGTTCATACTTTTTACAATAAAGGCCCAACATTCCCGCCTTGAACAAGCTGTGCTAAAGGGACTATCGGCAGCAGAATGGAACTTTTTTCAATAAAAGAAAAGCTGTACACTGTCCACTACCTGCCCAGCTCGAAACAGCTGACAAAGTTAGACTAGCTGGTGAAGATAGTGGAGCATAGTCGCTAATGAGCCAGATCATTTTTTCAGGAGTTGATGGAGAGCTAAAAGTGAATATTAGACTTGTCAGATGGACGCAAGCAGGACTCCAAATGAAAGCTCATAATGGTCTGTGTCTGCTGGATGAGTAAATCAGCAACTTCTATGAGGTAATAATGTGTCAGATATTGTGTTTACAGCTAATTCTGCTGCCCCGAGTGGCAAAGATCAGTAAATGCAGTTTGCTTCCCTGCGTTTCGCTGCAGGTGTAGCCTGCATTAACAATGTTGTATTATCACTGTGTTTATAGTCTGTTTCAAAATAATGGAACAACTTGGCTCTTATTTTCATAGTTGTGGCCATCATCTGTGTACTGTACTCACCGAGTCTGATACACGAGCACGAGTCACATGATCAGACAGGTTGTAAACAAAGGTCCAGGCTGGTCTTAATCTGGAGTAAACAAAGGTTTTGGTTTTATGAGCCAAACTGTTTGTGTGATCGTTGGACTGCTTGTGTTTCTTTAACTCTGACTTCTGCCTGTTGTAATGGTGCAGGCATGTTGTTACGGTAACAAGATTCATAACTTTTATTCGTTTCATTCTTAGATAACAGTTCATCCTGTCCCTCACTTCCTGTCCACATATTGCTGCCATGGTTTATTATGATGCGCTCTCATGTATAAAATGACACAGCAACTTGTGTTGAGCCTTTGTTCAGCCGCTCACCTGCTGTGAAACCTCTTCCACGGCATGAGGAACAACTCCACAGAAACTCAAAACCGGCCCGACCAGTCTTCTTCCTGCTGTGAATCTAGATCTGTCTTTTGAAATGTGTGTGTGTTTCCAGCACTGAGTGCCTGCAGGTTATTCAGACCCTCTCTGAAATCATGTTTTCCTGTTTACATTAGAGGACTGGAACATAACCGCTCAATTGTCAGGTTATGGAACAGTAACATTTTTCAGCATTAACTCAAATCTATTATTCTGTATTAGCTGTTATGTGATAAAACTAATACATATTTGACTTGTTCCCGCAGCCTCTGCTCCCACGTCTTTTGAAGGCAACTATGGGCGGATCATTTACAGAGTGAGGGCTTTTATTGACACTCCACGATTTGCCAAAGACTACAACAAAGAAACAGCTTTCTACCTGCTCAGCCCTCTAAACCTGAATGAAGTGCCAGACATATGGGTGAGACATGATTACATGTGTGTATATATGATCAGTCCATGTTTTTGTCTCTTTGTTTCTTGTTCATTTTATTTAGCAGTCAGTGGCTTCAGGGGTAGTTTTGTGTTGGAACTATTACTTGAAAAACAACATTTGTTGGTTTTTCAAGGTAAAGGAGATGCAGCACTCACACTTGAATAGTTATGATATTTTTTTAAACAATTTATTTATTGAATTTTCAATACAGAGCAGTCTACAAGGGAAAACACGGGTAAAACATCAAAGATAATGAAAGAGAAATAACATAAAATAAAAAAATATACATAATTAAAGTTTATATATATATATATAATATAGGCCTATATATAAAAATAACATGTGAAAGACGTAGGTACCAGAGGAGTAAAAAAAATGAAAATGAATAGATAAAAAAGGGGGAGTGAACATTTAGTGAGGTTAACATAAATTCCATACATTGGTACAAATATTCAACATATACTGATGCGAGTAAATATTGCTGTGATTGTGAGATATTTCCCATGTAGCTACTAAAATCCGTCCAGTGTTTATCACAGAGATGTGGTTCTCTTCTCTTTTGAGCTTAAACATCATTTTTTTTCTGGTGCCATGTATGAGGAAATGTCTTACTAAATGTAAACCACATGGAGACAGGGGGAGGGTCTTCCCTTTTCCATGACAAAGCAATGCATTTGTTACCAGCAATCATGACTAGTTTTATAAACCACACCTTGTTTCTTTTGGTGAGAGCGATGTCAGATATGTCGCCTAGTGAGGCTAGTTCAGGTGAACCAGGGATCTCAAACCCCGTCATCTCTTTGAGAATCTCCAATATTGAGCCCCAGTAATGTTTTTGATTTATTACATTTCCAGAATGAGGTTACCTGTCTCTATTTGATAAATTGGGCTGAGCTCTGATTGAATGATTTATCCTATGGAGTCTTTCTGGTGTGAAGTAGGTTCTGTGGATAATATTAAACTGCAAGAGCTTATGGCGGCTGTTATATGAGAAGGTAAGTGCCTTCTCACATAGTGATTCCCAGTCCCCATTATCAAAAGTACAGTCCATATCTTGCTCCCATTTGGTTCTAGTGTTCAGGGGTTTCACTTCTGTGAAAGCCAGAATTCTATTCTATTCTATGTTAAGGACAAAATTCCTCTGACATGTTTGACATCTTTTAGGATCTCATCAATTAGTAGAGGCTTTAATGTGGTGGGTTTCCTCCCTCAGATGCACTTCTGAAGTGCCTGACCTGTAGATATTTAAAGAAATAAGTCGTTGGCAGGCGGAAGGCTCTACCTAACTGCTCATAAGTGTGTTGTTTTCATAGAGGTCCCCAAATTTCTTAATCCCCTGTTTGTGCCATATCTTGGTCATACTGTCTCTAAGTGCATTCGCTAAAGCAGGGTTGGTATAACTGTGAAGAGCAGCCACACTATTACGTTGTGTCTGAATGGCAGACCAGATTCTGGATGTGTTTGATAAAGGGAGTATCAGTCCCACTCTTTAGATAGTCTTGATATTTAATATGGGGCAAACAACAAAGGCGTTTCAGCTCTAAGCGTCATCAGCATAAGAAACCGTGGTGAATCAGACAATGATAAATATATTTATAAACAGCTGAGGTTAGAACATGACTGCTTGATGAAGTGCATCTGTGAATGAACCACTATAGGGTGAGGGGCTACATGACATCAGCAACAGAACAACAAATAGTCAAATTTGACATCCAAGAGCAAACTCTTATATAAACCTCCACCTCCATCTCACTGCTGCACAATTAGAGCACAACTTACAGTAAAAACCAAACAACATCCAAAAAGCAATGTCCCAAAATACCAAATATGTACATAGGGCTCAAAGCTGTCTAGTATATAAAGGGTTGAGAATAAAGGTGTTATCTGTAGAGATCTACGGCACACAACAGCTAGAGGCAGAACATTTGAGTCTGTATGACTTTATTTATGACTTTAACAAAACAAAATTAGTAGAATGATAAGAACAAAACATTTTCTATAAAAAGGAGGTTCTTCAATTCAATAAACATCATTCAGTGCATTTAAAGGATCTGAATTAACGAGCACAATAGGCTTGTGTAAATAGAAATTAAAAGCTAAATGTCCCCATTAACACGTTTAAACCATTACAGAAAGATAACTGCATGTGAAAGTCAAACCATCATCATGTAGAAAAAACCTTAAAACACATACTGATGCTGATACAGTGGAAGAGAACCTGTGGGACCCTTATAGATGATGATGGACAGTATTTCCTTCTATATCATATACTAAAGGAGCACTGGTGTTATTGGTTTTAGTCTCTGTAAAAGAAAGGTGCAAAACCTTGTAACTTCCAGAGTCAAGACCAGGACAAGACCCAAGTCAAGTCCAAGTCCTAGACTTAGCATTTCAGGACCTAAACAAGTCATTATGCACCTCTCATGAAACTGAATGCCATTTAAAATTTTTAAACAGAGTTATCAGTTTGTATTTAAATTATAAATGCTTTTATTATTTTTTAGATATAAACGTGTTATATCAATTAAAAGCACTGGTGTCTGGTGTTACTTATTGTAATTCCTGGGAGTGGAGTTGAAGTTTGATTATTTCATCAAATCCAAACAATAGTTTTATTGAATCCATCTGTCTACAATTTTGAACATGTGCAACAAATCCAAAGATTTAACTGAGAAAAACCAGTAAATTAGATTAATGCAGAAGATGGTGGTGATGATGATGATGATGATGATGATGATTATGATAAATCTATACTGGACCAATCGAAATAACAGCTGTTGTGCAGATGTTCAGATATCATTGTTTTCTTACTGATTCTGATTCCTGAACTTGTTTACCAGCTGATACTGGTGCTGATCTGACACCACTGTGTTGTCTGTCATGGCTCAGGTGAAACCCTTTGTAAAAACTGCTGGAAACTGCAGTTTTATGTTCTGCCGTCTTTAAGTTCAGTTCAGATCGGTGCACAGACTCACCGGTACCTGATCCAGTGAACCACTCTGATCTGTACACCACCGACTTTATTTTTCATGAGCAACTGAAGGTCCTGATACAGAACCAGTATGTTGTGCAAGTCATTAAGTCTAACTGGGAGTTTAAAGTTCAACATGATGTCCCAATGTGATGTGTGTCTTACTAACCCTTGAAGTGCGGATGCTGCCTCTCTCCCTGCAGGGAACCTGTTCATCTGCAGTGACTCAGCAGTTCACCTACATGCTGGTGAAAACAGGCACAGTGGTCCTGAAGGCCCAGACCGACATGAAGGGCTACACACCAGGCCAGATCATCCAGGTGACGGCCAACATCCACAACCAGTCCGGGAAGAGCACAGGCAACATGGCAGCCAGTCTGATGCAGGTAAACCATACCTGAGAGGACCAGGTTATGCTTTGTTAAAGAAGTACTTCAAATCTTAGTAATCTCTGTTATTATAGGCCATGGTTGAAAGGACTGACTGCAAAACTGCTATATATGTATATGTAGTCACTATGCGCTGAGCACAGTTCATGAATCTCCATGTCCACGTGTTTTCAGAGGGTGACCTATGAGACAAAGAGGCCCACCTATGATATGAGAACCATAGCAGAGGTGGAGGGAGGTGTGGTGAAGGCCGCCAAGGAGGTGCAGTGGAAGGAGCAGATCATCGTTCCTCCTCTTCCTCAGTCATCCCTCGCTGGCTGTGAGCTGATAAAGATAGAATATTATGTTAAAGTAAGTTACGCTCTTCCCCTTTCACACTATAAACAATAAAGTTTTTGATTGACGTCTTGTCATTTTATTAGCTTTCACATAGGATTAACTGTACAGTAATTAATTCATCACTTACACAAAAAGAAAAGAAAATAATTTTAATAAATCAAAACACACACAACACAGAATGTTACATGTTACAGCTACAGTAACAATCCGACACTGAGTGGTCCAATAAATGTATAGAGGATTTCATGTAAACACACAGAGAAACCAAATCCTGCAAGGTTGGATGGTGGGTCCAGGTGGGCGGGGCTTGGGGCGTGGCTGAGGGCGGTGACTGCTTTGTTGTGACATCACAAAGTACTGTATTTCTTGCCCACACATAAGTAAAAGCAGTTCAAATAAATCAAGAAAGAGGAGACAGTGGTAGTAAATACATTCGGTTTCTATATTTCTATATATAACTGTCTTCTGTTGTGACAGGATGTGACATATTTAGCACATTTTTCTTTTCCCCCAGAATAATCAGAATAATCCCTGTCCGTCAAACTTTTCAAATTCGGTGCATTTTTTCAAATTTTGTGAAAAATTCCTCCCTGATATTTCTGTATTTTTGACAGTGTGTCAGAAAATGTAGTTCTCTGTCACTAACATTGTCTCGACCTCTGATTAAACAGGTCAGTCTAAAATCTCCAGACGTCATGTTGACATTACCCATCCACATTGGAAATGTCTCACTGGACAAAAAACTGCACCACTCCAAAAAAGCAGCTCCTCCTTCCTCTGCTGCACCTGAGGATACACCAGCCTCCGCCTCCACCTCTGTCCCTGACGCTTCCACCTCTGCTACCACTCCTACGACGACCCCTCGCACTGCCCCAAAACCCGCTCCCCGTCCCGCCCCTCGTCCCCGAATGTCTTCTCACAGTTCCCCCAGTGCTCCTCCAGCCGAGTACCACCATGGAGCAGAGGGTGGGACTCCGATGAACGATGGCTTCCCCAACAAGCGCCAGTCTCAGCTGGTGTCACCCAACGCCTTCAGCTACGCCCCCGGCCTTTTTTTCTCCCAGAACCAGCAGCACAGCGGGCCTGGCACTGCCCCCACTGGGCCTACATTCAGTGGGTCCACAGGGGCCCCATCACCTTATGCCCCTGAGAACGGTTCTAGCTCTGCACCATCACCACTCATCCTGCCTCCAGACTATGGCGCCTCATCTTATCCACAAGGTCAGTTGGCACACACTCATTCTGTCCAGGCTCTGTTCATGATTGTAGAGTGATGAATGTGGAGAAGAAGAACGCTGTCATTTAGGACAGATTTTAAAACCAAACTGCAACAAACTCCAGATCACAACTGTAACTTACAGCAGGATGAACTTGCTTTGGATCATCGGTCATATTTTCTACAAGTCCTGCATTTGCTAGTAATATTGAACAGTCCCATATTTACAGATCCATATAATGCCGTCACAGTTACACTCAGTGTCCTCTTTATCTAATGCCATCAATACATTAGCTCTGCAAAACTTCTACCATTATGAAGCTTATCATGTTTAGTTTCTGTTGACACCGAGTAATAGAAGAGTTAAGGCCCTTGCATGTTAATGAGGTGGGCAAAATATTAGAAACCACTGTCAGTATAGTGCAGTCCAGGAAACATCCCAGTGGTGTTCCCATCATAAGAGAATGGCAGGTGTGTGCCCTGTAGCATCAGGTGAGGCAGAGACCATGTGCTCATGTGTTAGGATTGTGGTGCTAGGTGCAGTCCATCATCACTAATTACATTGTTTTGATTTGATTGTTTGTGTGTAGAAAGGTTTTAAAAAGTGGGTGAATTATTGCTTCTGCTACCTCTTAACACTTTGGAAGAAAAGACTCCTAACAACTACATTTTCTAATGCGCAAGTAGTTTCCGCACATATCTGCACATGTGTATAATATTGCTGCAATAATATATCTGATCTCAGAGCTGTGGAAGCTGAGTCAACAAGCACACTTGTCTGTAGCTAGCTCACAATAGATACAACAGCAACAGCTGCTAGTCAAGCTAGCTTCCAGAGACAGGATCCTCCTGCCACCACAAGAGGACAGTAAATTACAAGATGAATGCAAACAGACAACAACAGAATGCTGTTCTGAGATCAGATGTGAGGACAGATATCTCTTCCACTTTGTTAACTTTCTAATATATGTCGATTTTCAGCTTTAACTGGCTTAGCTTTAACACCACTGACTTTAATAATAACCACACAGGGCTGAATTAACTCCTCTCTGACAGTGTCAATAAAAACTGGAACATTACAATCAGTGTTCATCCCTGGATCCTCCTGTCAACATGGCTGATGGTTAGGACATTGACATTGCCTGCAGAGGGTGTTTTAAGGGCTTATTTTTCTCTGGGTTTTGACTGCCAGCGTACACACTGGTTGCCCTACCTGTCTGATTCTGAGTCTGAAAGGAATACTTGCAGACATTACTTAGGGCTGAAAAGAGTAATTAAGCCAATTTAGCTTTTCTAGTGACAAAAACTTAAACAAGTAAATACAACATTTAGAATGACTGTTTACAGTTAATGTTTCCCTCATCAAAGATAAGACTCACATACAACATTATCTGTCAGACAGTATCAGGTGTCTATAAAGGACGGTCAGAGTCGGACACATATTGTTTTCGGGTCACTAAGCCCTCCCAAGACATATTCAAGAAAAGTCAAATTGGAGGCAACTGGATTCAATTTTTCAAGTATCTACAACCAAGTCCAGTTGCCCTCAATCTACTTTTCTTGGATAACCGCGGCCTGGATGACTGAGAGTCTTCACAGAAATAGAAATACACAGAAATAATATACTTGGCACCCACATCCTAAGATCACCAATGTCAGGCTCAGTGAAGGTGGGTAGTCCACAGACGGCCAGACCAAGTGATAGAGACTGATGCAGCCCTGTAAGACATTACCTGTGACGGCTGTCTCGTGCCCTGGCTGATGACATCATATGTTGTTGACATGTGTGACAAGTGTGACATGTTATAGTATTTGTGTACTAACCAGCTGGTCTAATGGTGTCTTGTCTGTTACAGAAGCTCCTCCTTCTTATGATGAGAGCTGCAACACATGAAGTCCCAGGACCCCACCCCTCCACCAGGAAGATGATTGATTCACTCTGATATCAAACAAAATGTTGAACTAAAACTGCAAATCACCTACCTTGTGAAAATAAGAGCCCTGTCATTTTATCATGTTATAACTAACTTGGGCAAAATGAGTATAATACACAGAAGAAACCTAATGTGACTTGCTAGGATAGTTGTTTTATACAGTAACCCTCAGATTTTATGTAAGTTTCAGGTTTTTCTAAATGTATAAGAATCAATATTTTGAATTTAAATGAATGTGATTTGACCTCGGACTCCGCTGCCCAGTGAACAAGGAGCTGAACTAACCTAATGGGGGTTATTCTCCCCTGAAAACTAGCCACAGCAAATCAACACTGTCTTTATAAAAATCAATCTTTTTTGTTTGTTTTAAGCACTTTGAATGAAAGGAGAGAGAAGAGGTAGGATTTTGTTTTCTGTTCTTCATGCAGTAACAGGAGTCAAGTTTTTAGTTGTGGGTTATTAATATGTAGATGACATCTGTGATGTCACGTTTGAAAATGTCATGTATGAAAACCTGTGCAAAACAAACATCTCTTATTTTTTCCAAAGCCAAATAAGAATTAAAGCAGTGGGATTTTTATTGGAAACAGGTGAAATCCTCTTTATTTGTATAAGACTGGATGAAATATGTTGTTAGGAAGGATCTTTTTTTTTTTATTTGGCTTTGATCAGAAGTTTTCTAATTTATGTGATATCCAGATATTGGTTTCACAAGCTTCCTCCCTTTAGCTTTATAAGGTTGTAGTGCAGGATCCAGTTTAGCCACAAGATTTCTGCCATGTTTGATCATTTGTTACATTTAGGTCATTAACTCTGTCGTAATGACTGCAGACTTCCTTTTAGAAATCATGTTGTATATTGTTCTTCCTCTGTTGCATGTGTGTTGGTTCCGTTCATGACATCCTCTCTGTCTGATTTCTGTTAATAGTTGAACAACAATGCAAAATCACTGATTTGAGGTTTCTTAACTAATTTAATCTGTTTTTTGTAAATACATTTAAATATTTCTTGATCAAGTTAAATCCATCAAACATGCAGAAATATTTATTGTTTTGAATGTTTATCAACCGCTGTCTGGATTCCAGTAAATCAGCCCTTGTTTTTTTAATAGTATTCTCAAGTCTATTGTTTTCAATATACCAGAAATAAATAAAGATGTGATCTCACTATAAATGTTGCTCTAGCAGAAATTCAGTGTGTACCTTTCACCCACACACCTTAACCCATGTTTTCATAGAACATGACTTATGTCAACATGTAAACTGATGATGTGAAACTGAAAATGATTTAGACCAACATGTTTGGGTGAGTAAACGGTGTGTATAGATTATACAGAACAGTCTGACATATTGAGGGTAGCACTCAAATACATAAAAAAACAAAAAAAACCAGAACATTTCTACAATTCAACTACTACTTACCTCTTGTACTGCCTTACTGATCAGGAATGACATTTTCAAAATGTTAGAAAATTGCATTTTCATTTTCACGCCAAAAGAGTGTGGTGACATGTAAGTGTAAATGACTTGTGACTGGTGGTGCTGTTTCACTTATTCCATTTGAATATTGTCCACTGTACAGCAGGTTAAGTCTTTGAAAGTGAAATGTCAAATGCTGGTTTTATTTTCATTTTCTAATAGTTAAAAAAATTGCATTTTATTATTAATCATGACTTGAAAATTATTTGCATAAATGGAAAATCAGGTTAAATTGTTCATATTGCATTTTTCATTATCAAATTTGAAGTAACATTTCACTGTAAAGCAACAACTTTGAACACTCACTTTTCCCACTGAGTTTCTGTCTTCATGTCTCTTAAAACATAAAAAAAAATATGCATTTACTTTTCAAATTTTAATTTCCAGGAAATGTTAACTGGCTTTGTGAAGAATTTTACTTGCCAGTTGCTCTTTAATGTTGGCAGTAGCCTCTTTATTAATAAACATACAAAAAAACAAGGCACTTTACTCACACAAAAGAAACAGGTTGAACATAACCATACACATACATACAAAATAAATAAATAAATAAAACACAAAAAGAAGAAAGAGGAAAATGGGCTCATCTCAAATGAACTTAAATAAATCCAGCAGTCATTAACTTAAGGGCTTTCCTATTATCCTTAATAAGCTTCAGAGACTTACTCAGCCATTGATTTATACACATTTACATTTAAAATACCTGCATTTATGTATAAAGAACTTCCCTAATAACAGTAAAATATTAAGAAGAAAGTCCAAATTCCGATTTTCAACACATAAACCAAACTTCTGGCCAGCTCTGCATATCGCTCCAGAAAGACTGAACTGATTTATATTGGGTTTTTTTTCTAAACAATTGTTTTAAAACATTCGACTTTTTTTACTTTAAAAATCTACATTTATGTATTTCTATTATAGTGTTTCCGATTTACAGCATTTTCAGCTCTGTTTAAACATGTTTTTTGTATTTTAAAATCATTTATTTGCATAATAAACATCTAGCTATTTGTGTTTTTTTTCAAATCAAATCTTTATTTATGAAACAGTGCAGTAACAATGACAACCTATACAAAAATCATATTTTGTTTAGAAATAAAAATAATAATAAATAAAATTAATTTAATAAAGAAGAGAGAGAGAGAGAGAGAGACATTCTGGCATACNTTTTTTTCTAAACAATTGTTTTAAAACATTCGACTTTTTTTACTTTAAAAATCTACATTTATGTATTTCTATTATAGTGTTTCCGATTTACAGCATTTTCAGCTCTGTTTAAACGTTTTTTTGTATTTTAAAATCATTTATTTGCATAATAAACATCTAGCTATTTGTGTTTTTTTTCAAATCAAATCTTTATTTATGAAACAGTGCAGTAACAATGACAACCTATACAAAAATCATATTTTGTTTAGAAATAAAAATAATAATAAATAAAATTAATTTAATAAAGAAGAGAGAGAGAGAGAGAGAGACATTCTGGCATACAGTGCTTAAATGTGACAGCGTAGATACAGGACTGAATAAATGAAACAGAAAGAAAAGAAAAAGGCACATAGTTTAAAAAGACATACTGGGTGAGGGTCCTATTGAAGTAAGACAAATAAGTCCATAAATAAGTAAACAAGTTTCTGGGCGTTTCTCTCCGTCACACATTTAAGTGATTTTGTGAATAGATTAAGATCATTGCTCCAACCCTTGATAAAGGGCTTGACCTTTAAATATTTGAATCTATGAATAAAATGCTTACCTAACAGAATCAAATTATTTATCAGATAATCTAAATTCTTGTCCTTTATAAGTAATCCAGCTTTAACCGACATCATATCTAGTGGTTGTGGTCAAACATTTTTGGATTCACACTGGAAGAAAATATGTGCTACAGTCTCAATATCTCACAAAATCCACATGTTGTTGCTCCAATGAAATATTATTTCTTTGGCTTTAGGTAGGACTGGATAGGATAAATAATGTTTCCTTATTTTCTTCTCCTCTTCATCACTGTATTGTTGAAGTATATTTTTTCTTTTCAGCTGATTAGGGTAGTGTTGAGCTGATTTAGCATTTCTAATAAACTTATTGCTGAACTGCTTGCTACACAAGTTGACACTATCAATACAGAGTGCCCTCATTTCTTTTACAATGTTAGAGTGCACCAAAATCTGTTGAATCATTGTTTTGAGGGGAACTGGGATGGCCTTCATCACTTCATTATATTCTCTAGTCGTGTATTGCAGATTGAATTTATCACAAAAGTCTTAATAATTCAAATAATTACCCTCCTCATCCATCAAATGGGTTACAGCTCATCCCTCTTCCATTCATGTTTCCAAAAACAATGATTTCCTGTTAGTCAAAATATACCTGTTGTTCCACAGTGGTGTATTGTGTGATGTAAAATGAAGCTTATATAGTAAGTTCCAGTCAAGGAAAACTGGTGGAAATTCGATAGTTTCACAGGCAGTCTGTTCAGGTCATAATCACTTCACAGTATAAAATTAATAAAATTGTATCAGCAATGTTAAACCAAAAAGAGTCTTTGTGCAGAATAAAGGACTTCAGCCACTTCAATTTCAGATCCCCATTCATGACAGAGAAATGTGTGGCATTCAGGCCACCCTCTTCGACAGCCTTCACGGTGTCAGCTTTCCTAATTTAATGACATTTGTTTTTCAAATGAAGTTGGAATTAATATTGTTTATTAATCGAATCATTGCATCTGAAATTAAAAAAAAAAAAAAGCAAAAAGTGAAATGTTTCAGTCTTTCCGAACCCGTGACGACGTGAATGCAGCGCAGGCAGCGTCTTACGTGCAGTGCGGGCGGGGGCGGAAGTGGAAACTCTTGTCTTCCTGTTCATCCCTTCCCATCTTCGCTCGTACACAGCTACATCGACTGGAGCTGGTAGGTAAAAACTCTGCTGCTTCAACTTTTCACCACGGCCTCGTTTTAACTGCCGGTGATGTTTGTACGGCGTTGAAGCGCTGTTTGTCTCCGTTTTCCTGCCTTGCTCCGAGCTCTGCTCTTTCCTCCATCTTTAAACTCATAGTAAGTTAAAAACGTGATAACTAGTGTTGTACTATTCATTGTCTTGCATGTTGAATGTTGCACAGATAGTCATACTGTATGTACTGTTCAGTAAAGACAGTTCCTCAGTGTCTGTGTGGTCTGACTTGATATTTTAAAGGGTGGAGTAAAAGTTGTTTTCAACTCCACAGGTGCTCCTGAACCCACCACAGTCTGACTTGACAGTAATGGATCAAAGTGGAGCCAGTGAGGGGCCTGGGCCAGGCAGAAGACCCCCCATTCTCTCCGCCAGTACACCCATGGCTGCCAAGAAGCAAGTAGCACAGAGTGGTCAAATGTCCAAAGTGAAGATAACTCCCTTCCACAGCTCACCCATAGTCAGCGGTGTTGGAGCTCTGTGCAGCAAACGACCAGGATCAGCTGCTGGTAAGCTGCTGGCCTCTCCTGGCAGCCTGTTTCTGGACACACCTGGACGTCTGACTGCTCCACCTGTTAGAGAGAGACACATGGCTGCTACTGCTGGAGGCTCAGAGGAACAAACTCCCACCTCAGGCTCTTTAAAGGCTGCAACTGGAGAAAAAACACAGGCAAGTCCTTCTGTTGTTAAGACAAACGGAGGATCAGCGTCTGAAGGGTGTTAAGTAATTTAATGTAACATAAATGATTAAGATCATTTTTTAAAATTCCAATCAAAGGTTCAATTTTGTCAACCAGTGATTCTCAGTGATAATTTGAGTGAGAAAAACAATACTGAGTTGTACATCTGTGTGCATGAACATATAAACTACTTAACATACACCTTCAAAATAAAACGAGTCAGTCAGTACATATTCTTAAGGTAATATAATTAGTTTTTTCTAAATTAAAGCTAAGATTAATAATTATTATCTTACAGCATGTGTCCATTGTGCTGCTCATAATAAAGGGAGCATGTGAACTAGAGCTGTAGATGAAGCTTCTTTGTTTACTAATGCATCATTTGTATGAGAGAACTGAGATATAACTCTTGTTTTAACAATCAAAGAGGAACTGCGTAGTGGATAACAGCTGTAATTGCACATGTATTAGCCTGTGCTTGCATTTAGCTTGCTTAATCATTGATAACTGCATTATATAATCTCCATGTTTTTACTCAGGAGGATCCACAATATAGAATAATGAACATTTCACCTAATCTGACTGCATGACGAACAACTTGATAGCTTTTATTTGTGCAGTACAAAGTGCTTTAACAAACGACAAATGAGATACAGTAATGAAATTAAACAGTAAGAAATAAAAGCAGAAAAATGTCATATAGTCCAGGAGATATAAACTGATACTAGTGAGTTAAAAACTAGTTTAAAAGTGTGTTTTTATTAGATGTTTAAAAGAAAACACATGCGTACATGCACAGTCACCTTTAGTAGCAAACCTGGACTTAGGAACAGAGACTGCTGCACTTCTATGGGCTCAGCAGGTCAGAGATACAGCTTGAAACAAATCTATTTTATGCTTTAAGTAAGTGATTAATATAATTTATAACAGTATTATGGAAGTAATAGGAAGTCTATGAAAGGATGCTGAAGTTGCAACTTAAGAAAACACACAAAACAGACAAACACTAACAACTTGAGAAAACATCTTCATCAGTTTGACAACACATGAGCTGCGAATACTCACAACACAACACAAGTGTTTCCAAGGGACACTAAACAGTGATGAACCTGGCTGGCTCACAATTGGGCATTGAACAAGGTTCATTGCTTTGTATGTTATTTTTTTTGCCTCAAGTCCAATAGCGACAGTGTGTGTGTGAGAGAGAGAGACAGGGAAGAGACAGGAGAGAGGGTTGCATTACTTTGAGCTCTCAGCGCCACTGTACAATGTGCTGTCTTCTCGAAGTTCCAGTTAAAGGGCAGATCAGCTGAAGACGTTTTAGTTCTATTTTTTCACTGAGTGCAGAATACAGACATTTACAGTGATTCAGACAGGATGAGACAAAGGGGTGTTTATACTGAAAAGCCATTTGGACTTGGTTTTTTAATTTCAGATCTCAATCAAAATTCCTCACCAGATGACTTGGTATTAGTTGGCATCAAGTTTTCCATTGATTTCAACCATCAGGCTCAGTGAGGCAAATGTAATTATCTCCATCTTACCCTTGTTAAATGGGAAAGTTATAGGACATCAAGACTCAGTATCATCAAAGCAAACTACAAGAGGGTTGACAGGAAGATATAATTCTGTATCACTGTAAAAATGAAGCAATATGCTGTTTCTATCCATTATATGTTCAAAGGGAAGCACATAGACTGAGAGGGTTGACTCGTTTTGTAGACGAGGAAATGAAGCTGCCTGTTTCAGTCAGAGAGAAAGGACTTGAGTTGCTTGTGTCAAGCTGCTGTCTAAAGACAAGGTTGTAAGGAAGAGAGAAAAGTTTGAAATCATACTTCTCACTAGAGGTAGACCAGTTTGTGGTTGTATTGTAATATTGCAATAACTGCTTTGTCCTTCGCTTTCTTATTTACGGAATAAAAAAATAAAGTATGTTGTCTTCTCTTCAAAGCCTGCGAACAAGAAGGCAGCACCACTCAACGCAGAGCTTTGTCACAGCCAGAGAGGCAAAGGCAAAGAGAAGAGAGCTGTCTCCACCTCCGCCAAACCTCAGCCAGGTTAGCTCATCCTCTCTTTACAAACTATACTTTCAATTATCCCAGATGGAAAACGGGAAGCAGCAGCAGCAGCAGCAGCAGCAGCTGCAGAGAACAACCAGCTGCTGCAGTATATGGATTGAATGATTGTTTTAGAAGTGCTTTTAATGTGGACTGTTTATTAGGTACAGATGTAAGCGTGGATATAGACATATAATGTGTACATAACATAACGCAACAGATTGCACTGAACATGTCTCACATTATTAGAATTATCATTTGATTCAACTCCTGTGCAAAAATACAATGTTTTTTTGCACAGAATGTTTCATATTAACATATTTTAATCCAAATACCTGTTACAATCAGTTTCAGTGTTATTAAACTGTGTTTACATTTGATTTCTTTATTTTTTGATGAACTTTTCACACTATACTGCGTGACTGTATTTTCCTTATGGCTGGGAAATCTGCAGTAATGTACATTTCTTACTGATGTCAATAAGTTTTAATGTTTCAGAACATCATCCTCCTATTTGTTTTCCTATTTTGGATTTTATTTGTTGTTCTGAATACAAGTATGTTTTTTAAACATTAATTGTTTTAATAATAACATCAGTGTTGTTACTGGAGAGTTACAGCACATTAATGTCAAGGTTACACTGATTTATCAAGTGTGTAATAACAGTTTTTCCATGTCCTAATAATCAGTTTCTGAAGTACAAACTTGAGCCTTGATGTAACACGTGACAGGATTTTGACATATTATGTCCTGCTGATGAATTCTGGCCTCCATGTCTCTTCACTGTGTGTTTTCTCTACTGTAGCTGTGAAGAGGAAGAAGAGGAAGATGGGAATGTACAACCTGGTCCCCAAAAAGAAGACCAAGGCCCTTAAACAGCAGGAGAAGGCAGGTGCATTTATTTATTAAGTGACCAATGAAATCACAGATTTCTCTGGTTTGAGAATTGATGGAAACATTTGTGATAATGTAAGAACACAACTCAACAACATATAGAACAGAGGTCTAGTTTTTTTTAGACAGGAAAAGTTACAGATTAGAACTTTAAATCTGATCAGTCACAGCATTTAGCTGTTAGTGTCTGCTGCCACACTAATGCCTCAGTTCAAATAAAGCCACTATGTGGGCGTATGAGCTACACTGTACCTGCCAGGTGAGTGTGATGCCTGACACTGGAACATTAGTGACATGCTGTGCATAGGTGGCACGTGCCTTGACTTCTGGCATCACTCACAGGCTCTACCTGTGCTAGCAGCAGCACAAACACTGGAACAGTTTTTAAATGGGATTGTTTGATTCTTCTTCTAAAACATGTAATCGTAACCTGCAACCAGCTCAATAATGGCAAAATAAGAGCATAATAAATAAAGATAAGGTAACCGAGTAAAAACAGTTGAGTTATTACCACTAACTGATATGTTTGTCTTTCTTCCCTGACAAAAACTGTCTTCTTTAACTTCCTGTCTTTATATCTACAAGTCTTGATAAGTACAAATGTCACCTGTTTTCAATCAGAAAGAGGAGCCAGGAGTCAGTGTGGAGAAGAGCCGAGCTGCAGCAGATGAAAAAGCAGTGATTCCACCAGAGGCTCTGAAGGTCGCAGAACAGACAGCTGTCAGAAATGAGTCCCTGAAGGAAGCAGAAGCAGGAGAAGGCAGCCATGTTGAATACACAGAGCTGGCTTTGGACTGTCTTGACCTGAAGGCTCAGGAGGAGCTGCTCTCACCTCCCACGTCAGGTGATTACAGCATCTCAGTCAGTGATGTGACTTCATAAGAATTCACCTGAATTCATGATGTCCCCTTTTTCTTCTACAGAATGAATGAGTAGTTAAAGGTCACACAGGTCAGTTTCTTGGTGTGCTGTGTAGTGAAGTAACAATGTGTGTGTGCAGGTGTAGCAGTGGATGCTGATGTGACGGAAACACACCTGGCTGAGGAGTTACCTCTGTGCTGCTGTCGTATGGAGACTCCTCACTGTGGAGGCAGCCTGTCCTCACTGGAGCAGACCTGCATGGCCATGGAGAGCACGGATGGAATAGTAAAGATGATCTAAATGAATAAAAACACCACTTTGATATTGGAGTGTTATTAAATATCAGATAAAAACCAGAGACGTGTTAAACCAGAGAACAGAAAACAGTGAATACATGTTGGATATGATCAAACTAAAAACTATATCAAATCTGGAGCTGGGGTCATGATGAGTTCAAATGCACTGGTGGTTTTGAAACCTTTTGGTTTTAATGTTGTAACAGTATGGTTGCTTATTTTTATGAACGCCTCCTTTATTTTCTCTCCACAGCCAAGTCCTTGCCAGAGACGAGTGATGAAGCAGGAAATGATGCGACCCTCCAACGCAGTCCAGCTGCTGGTTCTGTGCGAGGACCACCGGGCCGGTATGGTCAAACACCAGTGCTGCCCTGGCTGTGGACTCTTCTGCAGGGCGGTGAGGGGAAACAGAGCAAACTGATGGTGTAGATACATCATGTTATATAGTTACAGTAGAAGTTATCAGTGGAGATCCAAGGGAAGATTTCAAGTACATTTCTTCTGCCTTTTTCTTCACTTTCATTGTCTCTGTCTCCTCCTAGTGTTTGTTCTTTGTCTTTTTCTTAAACCCTCCTGTTTTACTGTTTCTCTTCCTTCTTATTTATGTCCATCTCCCTCTCATCTCTCTTCCTATCCTCTGTGTCCATCTTAATCTTCTTCTTCCTCTCCCTCCTCTCCTCCCTCTCCATCCACCTCAAACTCTAAAGCAGTGATTTCTAACTAGTGGTACATGAACCTCAGAACATACTTTTGCAGTTAGTGGACAAATTGTTGAGTAGTTCAGCTACTCTCAAAGAGTAAACTTATTATTATCATTATTGTTATTGTTGTTGTTGTTGTTGTTATATTCAAAGAGTAATAGTAGTAAAACAGTTTGAATAAGTAGGTAAAGGTAATGAGTCAATGGTTGAAATAACTAAAAGTAAATATTTGTTATAGTTACCTGAAAGAAAGTAGTGTAGAGTGGGGCGTCCACTATTCGGAAGGTCGATGGTTCAATTTCCAGGACCTCCAATCCGCATTTCAAAGTGTCCTTGGGCAAGATACTGAACCTGTGTGTGTGTGTGTGTATTTGTTTTTGAGTGTGTGTGTGAGTGTGTGTGGGAATGGTGGTTGTTGGTTATGGATAAATGGTTGAAATAGATACAAGAAGTTAGGGATAATTGGTAAAGGTCAAAAATGAACAGCTGAAATAGTCAGATGTCAGTGGATAAAAAGGTGCAGAGAAGTGATGGATAAGTTATGCAAGTAGATGTAGATTAAATTAGAAAAAATTAGAATTATTTGCCAGATTACCTTTGTCAGATTGTCAGGTAAAGTAATGGATACAGTACCTTGCAAAAGTATTCACCCCCTTGGTGTTTTTCCTATTTTGTTGCCTGAAACCTGTCATTTAAATTGATTTTTATTTGGATTTTATGAAATGGAACTGCAGAAAATAGTCCAAATTGGTGAAGTGAAATGAAAAAAAAAAATCGAATCACTCCGAGAACACCATCCCCACAGTGAAGCATAGTGGTGGCAGCATCATGCTGTGGGGAAATACTGGGACATTCTTGAGGAAAACCTGTTTCAGTCTTCCAAAGATTTGAGACTGGGACAGAGGTTCACCTTCCAGGAGGACAATGACCCTAAGCATACTGCCAAAGCAACACAGTTGTTTAGGGGGAAATATTTACACATCTTGGAGTGGCCTAGTCAAAGCCCAGAGCTGGAGCAGTTTTGCCTTGAAGAATGGGCAAAAATCCCAGTGGCTAGAGACATACCCCAAGACACTTGCTAGCTGTAATTGCTGCAAAAGGTGGCTCTACAAAGTGCTGATTTTGGGGGGGGGGGAATAGTTATACATGCTCAAGTTTTCAGATTATTTTAATCCTATTTTTTTTATTTCTTTCACAAAGAAATGTTCTGCGTCCTCAAAGTGGTGGGCATGTTGTGTAAATCAAATTATACAAACCCCCTAAAATCCATTTTAATTCCAGGTTGTAAGGCAACAAAACAGGAAAAATGCCAAAGGGGGTGAATACTTTTGCGAGGCACTGTCTATGGTTGATACAGGGAGCTTGAAAATAGAAAAATAGAAACCTAAGTCATGGATAAACAGGTGAAATACTAAATGTTGAAATAGAACAGCTAAAGAGCTAAAAGTAGCTCGGTGGATTAAAGTTCTGCTACTCCAAGTGGTGGGAAAGCAAACTTGACCAAACCCACCTAAACATTGATGGTTCAACTGGATGTAAAAAAATATTTTAACAATGTCCCCCTTTATGTAATTGAAAGTGTTTAATAACATCAGCTTTAAAATCAATTCAAATTCAACTGGAAAATAAAAGGTGGTGTGTATGAAGGAATCTCACAGGGTTTTTGGTACATCAAGTTAAGAAGCTTTAATGTTTTTTCGCTCTGCCAAGAAGAAAAAGAAACTTGACAGTTTCAATACTTTGGATATTTTAAATCCTGAACTTCTTCACTTTAACCTCTCCTCTGTCTGTCCCACAGGGCACCTTCATGGAGTGCAGGCCATATGGCAGCATCTCCCACCGCTTTCACCGCAACTGTGCCTCCATCTTGAAGGACTGCAGATTTTGCCCTCACTGTGGAGAAGACGTCAGCGGAGCAAAGGAGGTCACGGTGCCGAAGGCCGATCAGTCGCCCTCTGTACCCAGATCTAACCCCAGGCTGTCACTTCCAGCTGTGCCCACCCTGGCCACCCTCCCCTCAGGACCAACCAGACCTGCTGTTCCACAGGTACTCAGAGCCAAGAAGACCAGCGAGCCTCAGAGGAGCAGAGACGAGAGCCCGAGCAGGTGACACAACATGTCCTCTCATCTTACTTAGGAGGATGCGGATACATTTGAAATGACTAAACTCACAACTATTTTATAAAAATCCAGTTTATTCCAATTGGGTTCAAATAAAAATCTCACTGCTTGTTTTCTTCTCCCAGGTTGAAAGGCGAGGCTGCAGAGAGACAACCTAAAGAGTCACTGGAGAACATCCTGATGGCACTGGATGATGAGAAGTAAGGTTAACCAGGAAATTTTTGGACATCAGTCTGCAAAAAATGCAGCCTGGCCGCCCAGTCTGCCCTCTTATGTCAATAATTGATTGAGAACTTTATTCTTTTTTAGCCTGAAACCAAAGAAAGTGAAATACCCCACAAGGCAGCTGTACATCTCTGCAAAGCAAGGAGAGCTCCAGAAGGTCATTCATCTCTTAGGTAACCTACATATGTGATTAGAGTGAGTGAATTCAGCTACAATAACTTAATGTACACTCACTGAGCACTTACAGGGTTTCTACTGATGTATTCTAAACCAGGCTGCCTGCTGGACCTAAGGTGCCCCCCCCCTCCGGCCCTAAGCATCAGGAACTTTGGGGTGGTTTGGTTGGAAACCTAGATGTAATGAAATGTAATAATCTCTCATCAACCAGCTCTTTGTTCGCTGTGTGTGAAAATCCAGGAGATCAGCGGTTTGAGAGACACTCAGACCAGCGTCTGACACACGGTCATATTACGTCTTCATTCTGATGTTTGATGAGAACATGAACTGAAGCTCCTGACCTGGATCTGCAGGAGTTTATCTGCCCATCCTTCCGCCATTCATCTGCCACCATCAGCAACTTTGCACAGCCATTGAAGTCACATGATTGGCTGTTTGGATAATCGCATGAATAAGCAGGTGTACAGGTGTTCCTAATAAAGTGCTCAGTGAGTGTATGTTTTTTTTTAATACCTGTATTATCACACTGGTGCACCAAACTTTGTGCATTACAGTTGATGGGAAGGACCCCAACTTTTTGATGGAGGGCCAAAGCAAACGCACCCCTCTCCATGCAGCAGCTGCTGAAGGCCACCATGAGATCTGCCACATGCTGGTCCAGGTGAGGAGACCGGGGCGTCACCACAGGAAATACAGGTGTATTTCTCGCTGGACAAAAACTGTCAGACTGATGCATATTTGGTCCTAACATTAGGCCTTGAATTAAAAGCATTCTGTCAACTTTCTCAACTTAAGAACTCTCCTCTGTCTCAGTCCGACCATGTGTCCTTTTCCTCATGTGGACCCATGACAGTCGCGATCATACAAATCAAAACAAAAGGTTAAATGCTATTTTAACATGCCAGACTTAAATCCCCCTTCAGTACCATGGATAGCGACTGTGGTGTGCTTTAACTAGTCTGAACCAAGAGAAATGAATGAAATGTTTTAAAGCTGCAGGAGGCAGTGCTCCATGTTAGCTGTTAGCTGCTGTTAACTGTTACTAAAATGTCCCCTGCCCTGTCCAGAAAAATCCCTGGGTCATGGAAGGTCAGTGTCTTACAGTAAATTAAGTGTGTGTGTGTGTGTGTGTGTGTGTGTGTGTGTGTGTGTGTGTGTGTGTGTGTGTGTGTGTGTGTGTGTGTGTGTGTGTGTGTGTGTGTGTGTGTGTGTGTAGGCTGGAGCCAACCTGGACATGTTCGATGAGGAGCAGAGAACACCACTGATGGTGGCCTGTGAAAACAACCACCTGGACACAGTGAAGTACCTGCTTAGAGCTGGAGCAGCCATCAGCCAAAAGGTGCGTCTGGACACAGTCTGTTGGATCATCTCAGTGTCCTAATGTCAAATTCTGCTTCTACATCCATCCCTCTGTCCAGTCTCACTCTATCAGCTGCTGCCACTGCTCAGTCCGTTCAACAACTAATTTTAAAATCACAAAATGAATGTTATTATTTTCACCATCTGAAGAACTTATTTTAGTGTAGCATCTCTCAACGGGGGCGGTTCAGAGACAGATGACTGAATTGACCATAGGTTGTACTGAGCAGGGATGGGTATCGTTAAGAGTTTATCGGTAATGCTACTTTTATCGATCCCACTTATCGATCCGGTACTTTAACGGGACTGTTATCGGTACTTTTTTGTCATTTTGTAAGAAAAAACAAAACAAATGAAGAACAGAATTAACATTACTTATTTTCTCATAGCATTGCTTAACAAACGAACAAAGAACGTGCTCATAACAATCAAATGGCTGTTGGTTACTTTTCATCATTACTGCAGACACATGACACAAGGACGGATGAACTACAAGCTAGTCGGTCGAAAACTGTAAACTGTACATTTTTCCGTCTGCGTGTAACAGACTTTCACTGGATGTTTCCAGAGGTCGCTCGTGTTTCCGCTCTTACATGCATGTCTCCCCTCTGGATTAGGAACAGTATAAATGCATCATTTATAGATGTCTTAATCAGAAACAGAGTTGGTGAGATAGAATGAGAACTTTTATGACGCAATAATAAACAGGAAATCTCTTTTCTTAATTTTTCAAGTACCGAAAGCAGAACCAATAACGCTGGAGCTTATCGATACTCTGGTCTTTAAAAATGTAGCCCCGGGGCCTGTTTAATACTGGGTTTCGGTACCCATCCCTATTACTGAGGCAAACATTTGTCATAGTTTTCAGTGGATGTGTTGAAAAAAAAAAATCTGTTTTTATTTAGATTTTTATTCCTCCACGCTGGCGACAGCCAGAGCTGTTTAGTTTTCAGGTTGTCCGTCTGTCCCATTCTCGTGGACACAATATCTTAGTAATACCTTGATAGAACTTATTCAAATTAGGCACAAACACTTGGACTTAAGGTTGACCTGATTAGATTTTGTTGGTTAAAGGTCAAAGGTCAAGCAAAATGCACACAAATTGTAAATATTTTCTATGACTCCAGATGAACAGGGGTGTAACCTGAAGCTAGTCTGAGTGGAGGAGGGACCATGAGGAGGTGATTCAAGTTTGAAGTTTAGAAGGTGAAATGTATTGAAATTTAAATGTTTGTAATCAACCATGCCCACTTTAGTAAATCATTACCAAATTTTTTGCATGGACTGAGTAATGACCCTTACATCATACAAACCAAGTTTCATACAAATCCATGCAGCTCAAGATATTTGTATCCATAGTTACGCCCCCTAGCGGCCAATTAGTGCCCACTTTTGTACACAGCCTCAGAGTGATTTGAGAAACTGCTGGGCTACTTTTAGTGTTAATAGGAGCAACTGGTTCCAAGATGTGCAACACTTCTTGTTTTGACTGGAACCTACAGGAAGTATTTCCTTTGTAATTTGTCAATTTTTTAGGATTATCACTGGATTTTACCAACCTGTGGGGTCAGAACCATAATAATAAAAACATCAGCGATTACCATCACCATAATGGTGTAAATTTACCGAGAGATTTTCTAGATTATATGATTTTATGAACGCGTTTTTGGCACAGCAGCTTCAGATAAGTAGTTTAGTCCAGTATCATCCTCTGTTGAGATGTATAATATTCTCTCATCTAACATCTCACAGACGTGACTACCTCACATAGTCATTATTAAACTTTCAACTTAAACTTGAAGCTCTGCAGTGTGAAGTTTTTTTTCTTTTTACTCTTTTGCAACATTTTTGTGAATTACATTCCCCACAAACAGTGGGAACAGGTGCCTGTATATGGAAGTTTTAGGGAGATAAATATGCTAATGATCAAATCTCACAAAACTCTCTTAAATGAAAGCTTATCCAGTCCAGAGAGTTTGATGGGAGCACATGCAATGTACAAAGAAAGACATTGAATGTTTTTACATGAGGCCCAATGAGTTCAGTATGTAACTTTTTTATGTGGACCTGTCACTAGGTGCAATACGAGTGACATTTGAAAATTAATTAGTGCAGCTTTAAATGTGATTTTGTCAGTGCACTATACACCGATCAGCCATAACATTATGGCCACTGACAGGTGAAGTGAATGACACTGATTATCTCGTTACAATGGCACCTGCCAGTGGTGGGATATATTAGGCAGCAAGTGAACATTCAGTCCTGAAGTTGATGTTGGAATGGGTAAGTGTAAGGATCTGAGCGACTTTGACAAGAGCTAAATTGTGATGTCTAGACAACTGGGTCAGAGCATCTCCAGAGCTGCAGGTCTTGTTGGATGTTCCCGGTCTGCAGTGGTTAGTACCGACCAAAAGTGGACAACCGGAAGGATAAGGGAGGACAAGCGGTGAACGCTGAACCATTGATGTGGTGGGGAGTGAAGGATAGTCCGTGTTGTCCGAGCCCACAGAAGAGCTACTGTAGCACAAACTGATGAAAAGGTTAATGCTGTCTCTGATAGAAAGGTGTCACAACACACAGTGCATGGCAGCTTGCTGCGTGTGGATGGTCAGAGTGAGCCCTGACCCCTGTCCACCACTGAATATGGGCATGTGAGCATCAGATCTGGACCACCGACCAATGGAAGTAGGTGACCTGGTCTGATGAATCAAGTTTTCTTTTACATCATGTGGACGGCTGGGTGCGTGTCCATCGCTTACCTGGGGAAGAGATGACACCAGGTGCACTTTGGGAAGAAGGCGAGCCAGCGAGGGCAGTGTGATGCTTTGGGCAATGTTTTGCCGGGAAACCTTGGGTCCTGCCGTTCATGTTGATATTACTTTGACATGTACCACCTACCTAAATATTGTTGTACTCCTTCATTGAAGTGGTATTCCCTAATGGCAGCGGCCTCTTTCAGCAGGAGAATGATGCCGCCACACTGCAACTGTGCTCAGATTTCTTAGATCTCAATCCAGTTGAGCGTCTCTGGGATGTGCTGGACAAACAAGTCTGATCCATGGAGGCCCCACCTCACAACTTACAGGACTTAAAGGATCTGCTGCTAAAGTCTTGGAGATACCACAGGGCACCTTCATTGGTCTGTGGAGTCTATGCCTTGATGGGTCAGAGCTGTTTTGGCGGCAAAAGGGAGGCCTACATAAAAATAGGCAGGTGATCATAATGTTATGGCTCATCTGTGTATGTCAGACAAATTTTAATGGTAGAATATAGGGTATAAGTGTATGGAGTCCTCAGAAGTCTGTGATTGATCTGGAGGGAAGGAGGACTCTCTCATTAATTGATAAAAGTACAACATTTTAATTAACCTCTCCATCTCTAAGCCTGGACTCGTCTTCAGATGGAGGGAAAGGATTAGGTACAGAAGATTTCTGAACTGAGACACATTCCTCTTCATTATGTATTTTCCAATATCCTCTGAGTTGTAATTCATTGAGTCCAAGCACCAATGAAATGCCCTTTTCTTTTGACATGTTACAGTGGTGGCAGCAGTGCAGTGTTGTTCAATGTGAATCATGTTGTCATCCCAGGATATCATGGGTTTCACCTGTCTGCATCTGGCAACTAAACTGGGACATTATGACATAGTCCATCATCTGGTGTCCAAGGCTTCCAAACACATAAACTGTCAGGTAAAAACATACATTACCTCATTGACTAACTGCTGCTAAGAGCTAATGCTGTGTAAATAAAGAGTGGTGTGTTTGAGTTTCACATCGTGTGTCTGTGTAGGATGATGGGGGATGGACTCCCATCACCTGGGCCATCGAGTACAAGCACAAGGAGCTGGTCCGGCTGTTGTTGTCCAGAGGGGCCGATGTTAACATCAGAGACAAGGTCAGTTCCTGGGTTAGATTCCTTCAGTGTGAGTGGTTCAGGAAATCAAACAGACCCAGTGATTCTAACTGTTAAAAACACTGAATGAAGCAGTTTGACATTTAAAGTCAGTGTTTGAGCGACGCTGTACGGAGGACAGAGACTCAGGGAAGAGCTGGAGCTGAGATTGATGCTAACCTTTGTTCTGATTGTTTCTCTGATAACTTATGAACCAGACGTTCAGCAGGTTTTTACCAGCAGCTGAATCATCCACAGAGGTGTCCTCCTCTCCACAACAAACACACCAGGGGATTAAAACCTGTAGAAACACCCATGAAGCAGTTTGACTTTAAAACTCAGAGATTCACCGACACTCTTCAGTGACACAGGACAGGACGTCTCCAGCAGCTGGGAGCTGAGCTGTCTAACATTTCCTCAGCTTGTTTCTCTGATAACTTCAGATCCAGACGTCCGACGACTAAAATCCTTCATCTGGTTCAAATATAGAGCTGAAAACCACAAAGGTGTCAAAAGTGTATGTGGCTTAAAACTAGATAACATGACACATGATCATAGAGGATATGATGTCATTGACAGGCGACCAATGAAACGTTACCATGATTAAAATCACAGATTTCTCTGGTTTGAGAATTGATGGAAACATTCGTGATAATGTAAGAAGTCAGCTGAACAACATATAGAACATAGGTCTAGTGGACTAATTTAATTATTATTGTTCATTTATTATTAACTGTTATTATTATTATTATTATTATTATTATTATTATTATTATTATTATTATTATTATTATTATTAACAAATAGCTAATGGACAGATGAATTTCCCCTAGGGGAATGATCAGTGAGGTAAAAAAAAAAGAGTAACCCCAGCTCATTAACATCTCTGTTCATTAGTCGACCGAATGCAAATCATGGTGGATGGAGCAGGACACCATGGAGGAAGCAGCTCATCTCCACAATAAAACACATTATTATGGCCCATGGCACACCACTGGTGCTTACTGTTGAGTGTGTTGAAGTTGTAGGAGAGATGGCAATTTATAGATGCCACTATGAATGCAAGCTTGTAAAAACAAATACCTAATTAAAAGATGACTCCAAGAATCAAATCCAATAGAAAATTTTTCAGGTATTTCAAAGTGGAAGGTAGAACAACAAAAGCATCCAGCATTGAGCAGCTGAATCAGAATCTCTGAGACTGGAATTATAAGATTACACTCTCATTATTGACTTTTGTTGCGGTTCTTAAATATGGACCTTTCATTATCGTTTGATTAGTCAAACATTTCTGTTTTTCAGATCAGTTGCCTTCATTCTTCTTGGTCTTTTGCTAAAACAAATAATACAGTGTCGAATGGACAGGATTTGTAATTACTGAACATGTTGGTGATGTCGATCATGGGTGTGCTGGTCGGACCCCCACCCCCGTCTCTCTCATAACACCATGACACCTCTCTGCTATGGTGCTTTGTCCAGGAGGAGAACGTCTGCCTGCACTGGGCGGCTCTGTCGGGCTGTGATGACATTGCTCAGGCTCTGCTGGAGGCTCAGTGTGACCTCAACGCCGTCAACGTTCATGGAGACTCGCCGCTCCACGTCGCTGCCAGAGAAAACTACCTGGAGTGTGTGACGTGAGTGTTTGGTCCTGAAACAAATTTCACTTTCATCATACAAAACTTTATTATTTACCCATTGTTAATACGATGAAAATGGTTCAATCATGGGTGGGGCAGGGGAATTTGGAATGGGGCACACACTCAAAAGGGGGTATTTGGAAAACAATTCAAATTGCATTACATTCAATTATAATATAATAAACATGTACAAGTACAAACTATATTGTGCTAAAATGTTGTTAAATGTACATTTGATACATTTACATTTTACATTGATTTCTTCAAATGTAAAATCATTGAATATCAGCTCAAAGTACACAAAGAAGGTCACAAGTATGTAGGGAAGTTCCTGATGCCTCATTTCCCTGTTGAGTAAACAAGGACATTTAAAAGGTTGTATGCCAATTTATTGAGACACAGCCTACATACGACCTTTTCATTTTAATTTCTAGATCAGAATACTGCCAAACTGCGCTGGTTTTCCAAGATGATGTCTGTCCCACTCTCCATCTTGCTTGTTTATCACTTTGCATCAGTGTGGGGAGGAGTGGGGGAGGCGCTGTCTGTCGGGCTGCAACTCCCCATAAGTTTAGTGGGGTTGTACATTAATAAGATATTAGTAATTATTAGTAATTAGTTTAACTGACTAGCATCTGTGGTGCTGAATAGTGAGGGTCACAACATCTGCACATGTTTGTCTTCGGGGCAGACTTTCATTTAGGCTCTGTGACAAGAAAAATCTTAATTCTACACCACTCAGGGACAACAGTATTCTTCCAACTTGGGGTTTAGCCTTTTCATGTTTCAGCTTAACAGTGCACACAAAGCCAGCTCTTTGACTGGCCTGCTCAGAGCCCCCATACCTTCATCAAGCCTCATCATCCAGCATCACTGTTGGACCTCACTAATGCTCCCTGCAGCCAGGTTACAGCATCTGATGGACGGAGATAAAAACTCCAGCAACGCTTGTAGTAAACAGAGAAGAACCATATTAAACCAACGCGTTTCGGCTTGTGGCCGAAAAAAAAAAAAAAAACAGTCAATCATATATAAAAACATGCATATCTGCCTATGGGGCTTCTTCAAAGGTGGGTTGGGCCTGTGGTCATGTGGCTTCAGGCCAATCAATGTCTCAGGCTGGTGGGGAACGTCCACTAGAGGACATGGGTGTCACCATGTTTACTGCATTGCCTGAGCAGTTCAGCTAAAGGGTTGTACACAAGGGACCTTGTCCGAAAATGTGTCCATTTGATGTGGCATACTTTTGGCTATGAAGTATATCAGCTATTGGCAAGTATTTTTCCTGAAGTATCTGCAGGATATTAGTTTTAGCTTCAAAGCCCCTGTTTTGGTTGACCCCCCTTTGCTACATCAGTTTATTGTGTTTTTAAGCTCACTGTGTTCTCTAACCTAACTCAAACATCCTCCATGTGCAGGTTGTTTCTGTCGTGTGGAGCTGATGTCACTCAGAGGAATAAGGAAGGACAGACGGCTCTGGACTGCTGCGCCTATGGCTCCAACGTGTGGACGGCGCTCAGCACCAACAAGAAACTCACTGATGCCAGGAGAGGCAGGGACCGCTGTGGAGAGAGGATGCTCAGCAGGTGTGTGTGTATGTGTGTATGTGTGTGTTGAAGTTAAAGCTGCATTCATCAGATGTATTTTGGCCACATCATGATTTTAAAAATACTGAAGTATTCAAAACTACATTTTTTATGTCAACTTATTGTTGTATTGTTCCACATTTACAGAACCTATTGACTCTGAAACAAGCTACTGACTGACTGACTGACTGACTGACTGACTGACTGACTGACTGACTGACTGTAGAACCTGTAGAATGAAAAGCTTGTAGGACATGAGACAAAGAGTGAAGACATAGACATAACAACAACTGAATCAACAAAAGAAGCCTTTCTCATTTCCATATAGTATATATCTGTTTTAGTCAGTGATGAAGTGTGGTCGTGTTAAACACAGCAAACATTTCAAACTAAATGAATCTTTATTTATTTCTAAAGCATAGAAATGTGGTGGAGTCAAAAGTACAATATCTGTCTTTAAGAGTAGTGAAGTAAAAGTCCATTACAAAGTAATGTACAGATACTTAAGTACAGTAGTGTAGTAAATGTACTTTGTTACTGTCAACCCCTGCCCACAGGCAATGTTGGTATTTATTAGGAGTCAAGTTTGTGTTCACCTAATGAATGTAAGTCCAGGATTGACATTCTCTATTGCTGTTTTTTTTTTTTTTTTTTTTGTCTCCACCAACTCCTCAGAAAAACGTGTGGCTCTTTGCCCAAGTGCAAAATGCTAACATGCTCACATGTTGATGCTAACATCCTGGTGCTAAGCAGGTTTAATGTTTACAGTGCTCACCACCTTAGTTTAGCTTGTCGGAAGCTTTCTGATCTGAAAGATTAAGCGACCCTAATCCCGAGGGGGGCATGAACGTCTGAACCAGATTTCATGGTGACAGTTACAGACACATTTCACTAAAACCCCAGAATGTGAACCTCATGGTGGTGCTAGAGGGAGTGCCAGAGCATTAGGATTTGTGCACTGGGCACCAGAAATGTCTGTACAAGGGGTTCATCACAGTGATGGACTGACTCTGGTGAACTATCAAGTGAAGCTGTGAGCTGTGAAGCTACACAGCTCCATAGCACAAAGGGGAACTGCAGAGCTTCAAAACTTCTTTGCAGATTTGTTGCTGCAAGCGACCCCTGTCACATTATACACAGTCATATAACCCATATTCTCATATAAAAATATTGATTAGTGCAGTCTATGAATATTTCGCTACAGTAGAGCTGCTTGGATGCAAGAAATCTCACTGTGGTTCTCTTAGAGGGAAGAGAACAAAGGGAGCTGGACTGAAGACGTCTCATTCAAGAGGCTTCCTCAGTTCTGGGCTAATGTGGAGCGTTAAACTACTACTACAGCTGAACTGGTTCCCCTGCAGGTGACAGTGACTGAACGTGACAAACTCAGAGGTTTAATTGTTGAGTAAAAGGTCAGTGAGCAGAGCTACAGACCCAAATAGATTCTGAAAGGTCAACTGAGGTTAAAATCAAAACTAAATCTTTTAGTATCACCACAGAAAGAGGTTTCATAGCCTCCTTTCATATTTCACATTAGCCTTCTTTTTCACTACATTGTGGAGCCAGAAAACCCACTTTGGCGTCAAGGGGATAGTTCAACATTTTGGAAACTCACTTACTGTATTTGCTTTTCTTTCTGATAGCGACAAGATCAATGTGGATATTATGTGTGTGTTCAGTACAGAGCTGGGATGATTCATGTAGTGTGTCAGCAGAGGGAAGCAGCCGGTCAGGATCCTTCAAAGACGCAGCCACCAACACATCGAAAGCTTTTCTGTTTAAGGCGCTGCATCTCGTTTGTTTAATTTGTGAAAGCAACAATTTGTGACTTTGGATG